GGATGAAGAAAAAACCATTCTGGCACAGCAATAGGCTGCCCCAAATTTAAATCTGAAACCACTGTAAAAGTCTGACCCACAGACGGACACAATACAGAAGCCTGATGATGGCAGATGAGATTCTGCTGAAACGTTGCTACAACTTTAAAAGAACTACAATGACGTGGGAAAATACCCGAACCAAGCCGAACACCATACATGTAAGTACCCGCGAAAACTTAAGAAAACAAATATCAAACCTCTACGGGGAGGAAATAAACAGCCAGATCAAAACCTACGAGAAACTGGAAATTAAAAGAGCAGGAATACTATGTGACCTCCAATTCCTACGCAGCTGCAGAGACAACAATACTACACCAACCTGCTTCAAATTAACATTTCATCAAAGCACAGCAGCCACCAAACGTATCCTGAAAAGAACTGAAATGGCTTTACTACGGAACGAGCTCCACAGTAAGAGATTCCGATTAGATCAGTTAAACAAAGATTTGCTAGCACTACACCTGGAACTGAGCAGCAAAATCCACCCTCTACTTTGGGACAAGATAAAACAACTTACAACTTGGAGAGCTGATTCTGAAGGTATTTACAAACAGGAAAAATTATTGAAAAAATTAAAGAAATTAGAACATGACAAGAAAACCCCCAACAACTCACAACAACACCTGAAACAATTAGTGCACAACGTTTCCAACAGAGAACTCACCAAAACAGAAACAGATGTCCTAACCAAAGGATTCAATTATGCTATAGCACCCCAAAAAATCCCCACAGAATCCATCATATGTGCAGTAGAATCCAGCCTAACTAAATTAAATACAGATGAAGCTGATAAAATAAGACACCAAGTTACCAACATCTTATGCACAAGCAAACCACCAAAAAGCAACTTACAGAAAAATGAAATCAAAGCACTACAAACCCTGAAAAGAGATAGCAGCATAATCATCCTCCCAGCAGACAAAGGGAATGCCACTGTAGTAATGGACAGAAAAGACTACGAAACAAAATTGACAGACCTACTCCAAGACTCCACATACAAACCCATAAACACAGACCCAACCACATATCTGGAAAAATTAACCAAGAAGAAAATTATAACCAGCCACATAAGCAAAGAGATCCAACACACGATCATACCCAGAGAGAAATCTTCCAGATGCCCCAAACTATACGGCCTCCCAAAAATACACAAAGAAGGCATACCTCTCAGACCCATAGTCAGCTCCAGAGGAGCACCACTACAAAACCTAGCTAAACACCTAGCAAAAGAGCTACAGCCCCATGCTGAAACAGCAGCTTCTCATGTAAAAAACTCATACCACTTCTTGGAAATGATCAAAGATCTACACGTGGAGCAAGAAGATCTGCTTGTAAGTTTTGACGTGGTTTCACTATTCACTCAAGTCCCGATAAAAGAGACCCTTGAAATCATCAAAAATAAATACCAACCAGCTAAACACCTCATGGAACTAACAGAACACTGCTTAACCAACACATATTTCATATACAAAGGACAAAGATACAAACAAATAGAAGGAGCTCCCATGGGATCACCACTGTCACCTGTCATTGCAAACCTGTTCATGGAAGAATTCGAATCCAGAGCCCTGGCCAATGCCATCCTCAAACCCAAACTATGGTTAAGATACATCGATGACACATTCGTGATTTGGCCCCATGGACAAGAAAACCTAAACAATTTCCTAACACACCTAAACAGCGCACACCCCAAAATCAAGTTCACCATGGAAACAGAAACAAACAAACAACTACCATTCCTAGATGTACTAATCTACAAAAAAACAGATGGCACACTAGGACACACCATATACCAGAAGAAAACCCACACCAACCGCTACCTCAACGCCCAATCCCACCACCACCCAGCACAGATAAACTCCGTGGCTAAAACACTAATTACCAGAACCAAACGCCTGGCAGACAAGACACACATTAAGACTGAACTATGCACCCTGACTAAAGTACTGACAGCCAACGGCTTCCACAAAAGCAAAATCACCAGCTTGATCCACAAAAACACACTGAAACATAATAGAGACCCAGAAGATGAACAGACCTATGGAACAGCTGTCCTGCCCTACATAAGAGGTACTACAGACAAAATTAGTAAGGTACTACACAGACATCACATCAGGACTGCCTTCAAAACAGACAGAAAAATAGCAGCCATCCTTAGCAACCCCAAAGATAAAATTGACCTGGAAAACCAAGGCATATACGAAGTCCCCTGTGCATCATGCCCGGCCACATACATTGGACAGACCAATAGAAGAATAAGCACCCGCCTGGATGAACACAAAAATGCAGTCAAAAAGCTGGAACACACTTCCTCACTAGTCCAACACATGGAAGCCACAGGTCATAGCATCAACTTCAATGGCACCAAAACCCTGGCCACTATAGAAAACCCTAATCACAGAATCATCAGAGAAGCCATAGAGATTGAAAAAAGACCAGAAAGCATGAATAGAAGAGATGATTCCACCAGGCTGTCAATCATTTGGAAGCCTGCACTCACAAACAAAAAAATCTCCACACCACAAGCCAGGCAAACACCTGGGCACAAACAGATCCCCCCTGATACCTCCAGCTCAAACACATCCCAACCAGGCACCCAGATGAAACCCAGCTTCCTAACTAATGATAGCCGTCCATTTACCCGAAGCCAAGCTGCACTAAAGGCCTCCAATAAAGCAACACAATGCTGCCAGCCAATCAAGATACAAAAAGAGCCAAAAAACAGACAGAAGATATTAGAGACACCAATCAAGCAGAACACAGCAAACTCCGAGACCAATAAACACAGACCAAGACTCCCAACCAATCAGGATGAAGAAAAAACCATTCTGGCACAGCAATAGGCTGCCCCAAATTTAAATCTGAAACCACTGTAAAAGTCTGACTCACAGACGGACACAATACAGAAGCCTGATGATGGCAGATGAGATTCTGCTGAAACGTTGCTACAACTTTAAAAGAACAACTACAATGACGTGGGAAAATACCCGAAC